GGCTGTAAGAACACATCAAGTGATCTCTTAGGGTGTTTTGGACCAGGAACAAGAACTGTTAGGAACAAAAACTCTCGTTTCATACATAGAGCTGGGGGAAGGTTGTAGGGTGTGACGATTACTGGCCAGAGTGAGTACTTGCGCCCAATCTTACCGAATGGATTGAATCCATCTGTACATAGTCCCAAGTACACGTTCCTATGCTCAGTAGCAAATGTAGGATATATCGACTGAAAATGCCTCCACGCTTCGGCATCAGAAGGATGTGAAATTTCACCATCGAATGAATGCTCTACATGCCACCTCATAGGACCTGCTGTTCGCTCCGACTGGTATAGCCTCTTTAACCTGTCTGTTATTGGTAAATACCACATACGTTGGTAGGGCAGTCTACTTTTCCCACTAGTAACCTGAAATCGTGGCTTCCGGCAAAATTTACACGCATCCGGATTTGCATCTTCTCTCCAAAATATCATGCAATTATCAATACACACATCAATCATCTGGAATGGTAACCCAAGTGCTGACACCAATTTCTGTATTTCGTAGTAAGAACCAGGTGAAAAATTTGGCTGTGGCAAATACTCCTTCATGAAATCAGCTATTGCGTCAACACAATCCTCAGACAAGTTATATTCTGTTTTGATGTTCATCATTCTAGTTGCTGCGGATAAACGTGAATGACCTTCTCCACAACCATCATAAATCGGATGTTTTGCTGCATCAAGCATATCAAAAAACTTTTTTGCTTCTGAATTTGGTTCTTCAACGTCGGTTTGGGTTTCTATCGTTTCACGAAAAGCATCTGTCACCATCTGCACAGTACCAGTTGGATCATCATGCAAATTTCCTTGCTTTTCAACACTATTATCAATATCATGATCGAATTGATGATATCCATCTTCACCAACTTGATAACTAGTGCTTGCTAAAGATTCAAAATCTTCTCCATGGGAAAACCATATATAATAACCAGGCGTAAATCCCCGAGTATACAAGTGCTTCCAAATAGTGTCCACCATGATAAATTTTTCATTACCACATGAAGAATAAGGACAATACATCTTACCCTGCTCCAATGGAATCTCTTGATTTGTAGCAAAACGCATAAATACAGTAAGCCCTTGCTTATAATCCTTCGTTAACTCTCCGGTAGCTTCATCTACATGCTTGTACATCCAATCACGACTCCTGTGTTTATTGGAAGCCATTGAAAACGATTTCTCCACTTCTCCTTTTTTTTTTCGCAAAATCAATTCTGATTTTGTTATACCTAAAATTTCCAACAAAAGGTTTGTCGCAAATTTGTTGGAAACGGCTCGAAGTTAAAATCGTTGGAATTGGGCCCATGTTTCGTCGCCAAATTGTTGGAGTCGGTTTGATGTTTTGTCGCAAAAACGAAAGAAATTGGTTTCATGCGTCGTCGCAAAATCGTTGGAATCGGCTTGATGTTTCGTCGCAAAAACGTTGGAATTGGTTTGATATGTCGTCGCAAATACGTTGGAATTGGTTTGATGTTTCGTTGCAGAATTGTTGGAAACGATCCAGTTAGTCGTCGGAAAGTCGACAGTAACGATTCGTCAGTTGATGGAATATCGTTGGAACAAATCGTGGAGACGTCGTAAACTGGTTGTAAACAAGTACATAAATAGCTACGGGTTTCCGACGAATTTATCGTTGATAATTTCCGACAATACCATCGTCGTAAGTAATTTGTGACGATGGTAATTTCGTTGGAAATTACCAACACGTTTCCTACAAACCTTGCGACATGATTCTAACCCTTAATATTTGTTAGAAATTTGTGATGTGTTTTCAACGAATCTAATTTACGATTGAAAGTTGCGAGATATTGGTTAGAAAGTTTCCCACAATTTTGGTTGTCGAAAACTTTTGTTGGAAATTCCATGGTTTTCTTGTAGTGCCATCTAGTTCATCTTACACACTACAAAGTGAGTTTCCACAATGTGGAGGCACAAGAGGTACATTTCGGACTCCTTACCTCTTCGGTTCCCAAATTAGGTCCATTTGATGTTCCTCCCTTGGATTGAGACCGTTTCACTCATGTTTGTCCTCATAGTCATGTGGAGAACCTATTAATCCATGTTTGGGTAGTATGGGTCCATCTAGTTCATCTTATACACTACAAGTAGTTCCACAATGTGGAGGCACAGAGGTACATTTCGGACTCCTTACCTCTTCCGGTTCCCAAATTAGGTCCATTTGATGTTCTCCCTTGGATTGAGACCGTTTCACTCATGTTTGTCCTCATAGTCATGTGTAGAACCTATTAATCCATGTTTGGGTAAGTATGGGTCCATCTAGTTCATCTTATACACTACAAGTGAGTTTCCACAATGTGGAGTCACATAGGTACATTTCGGACTCCTTACCTCTTCCGGTTCCCAAATTTGGTCCATTTGATGTTCTTCCCTTGGATTGAGACCGTTTCACTCATGTTTGTCCTCATAGACATGTGTAGAAACCTATTAATCCATGTTTGGGTAAGTATGGGTCCATCTAGTTCATCTTATACACTACAAGTGAGTTTCCACAATGTGGAGGCACAAAGGTACATTTCGGACTCCTTACCTCTTCGGTTCCCAAATTAGGTCCATTTGATGTTCCTCCCTTGGATTGAGACCGTTTCACTCATGTTTGTCCTCATAGTCATGTAGAACCTATTAATCCATGTTTGGGTAAGTATGGGTCCATCTAGTTCATCTTATACACTACAAGTGAGTTTTCCACAATGTGGAGCACAGAGGTACATTTCGGACTCCTTACCTCTTCCGGTTCCCAAATTAGGTCCATTTGATGTTCCTCTCTTGGATTGAGACCGTTTCACTCATGTTTGTCCTCATAGTATGTGGAGAACCTATTAATCCATGTTTGGGTAAGTATGGTCCATCTAGTTATCTTATACACTACAAGTGAGTTTCCTACAATGTGGAGGCACAGAGGTACATTTCGGACTCCTTACCTCTTCCGGTTCCCAAATTAGGTCCATTTGATGTTCCTCCCTTGGATTGAGACCGTTTCACTCATGTTTGTCCTCATAGTCATGTAGAAGCTATTAATCCATGTTTAGGTAAGTATGAGTCCATCTAGTTTCGGACTCCTTACCTCTTTGGTTCCCAAATTTGGTCCATTTGATGTTCCTCCCTTGGATTGAGACCGTTTCACTCATGTTTGTCCTCATAGTAATGTGGAGAACCTATTAATCCATGTTTGGGTAAGTATGGGTCCATCTAGTTCATTTATACACTACAAGTGAGTTCCACAATGTAGAGCACAAGGTACATTTCGGACTCCTTACCTCTTCCGGTTCCCAAATTTGGTCCATTTGATGTTCCTCCCTTGGATTGAGACCGTTTCACTCATGTTTGTCCTCATAGTCATGTGTAGAACCTATTAATCCATGTTTGGGTAAGTATGGGTCCATCTAGTTCATCTTATACACTACAAGTGAGTTTCCACAATGTGGAGGTCACAGAGGTACATTTCGGACTCCTTACCTCTTCCGGTTCCCAAATTTGGTCCATTTGATGTTCCTCCTTGGATTGAGACCGTTTCACTCATGTTTGTCCTCATAGTAATGTGGAGAACCTATTAATCCATTTTGGGTAAGTATGGGTCCATCTAGTTCATCTTACACTACAAGTGAGTTTCCAATGTGGAGGCACAAGGTACATTTCGGACTCCTTACCTCTTCTGGTTCCCAAATTAGGTCCATTTGATGTTCCTCCCTTGGATTGAGACCGTTTCACTCATGTTTGTCCTCATAGTCATGTAGAACCTATTAATCCATGTTTGGGTAAGTATGGGTCCATCTAAGTTCATCTTATACACTACAAGTGAGTTCCACAATGTGGAGGCACAGAGGTACATTTGGACTCCTTACCTCTTTGGTTCCCAAATTTGGTCCATTTGATGTTCCTCCCTTGGATTGAGACCGTTTCACTCATGTTTGTCCTCATAGTAATGTGGAGAACCTATTAATCCATGTTTGGGTAAGTATGGGTCCATCTATTTCATTAATACACTACAAGTGAATTCCTACAACGTGGAGGCACAAAGGTACATTACGGACTCCTTACCTCTTCCGGTTCTCATATTTGATCCATTTGATGTTCCTCCCTTTGATTGAGACCGTTTCACTCATGTTTGTCCTCATAGTAATGTGGTGAACCTATTAGTCCATGTGTGTGTAAGTGATATATTCATATCTTTCATGTTTTTATCAAGGTTTTCACTATGTTTTTAATACAAATAATGTGGTTTTTAAGCCCAAGAGGTAGTTTTCTTGTATATTCTGGTTTTGAGCATCATTCAGGTCAAAATAGCAAAGAAGAGTCAAAATGGAGCAAAAAGAGTCAAATCACCAAGTTCCCAAGTCTAGAGCACCAAAATCTACATTTCTCGCTAAAGACCAAACCGGAGCATCCGAAGTACGACCGCATATTCATGCCTTCCCGACGTCCAAAAGTCATGATTCTTATATGGAAAGATAGATATTTGAGTCATGACCCGCGGCGAAGTGGAAAGAGGTCATTTGGATCACTCGTTGGACCGGAACTTATTTTCTACCAAGACATGTCCGACGAGCGCCTAAGTAGAGCCCATGGAGACTTTGATGGATCAAGAGGCCCGAGATACCGCGCCCAAGGCCTTGGCTCATCTTGACACTAGCATAACTCAATCCAGAAGCTTCCATTGGCCTGAACGCGGCCCATTCAAGAACTTGGAGAGCAAGCTCAAGCGGCTAAAGAGAAATGGAAACTTTCCTCTTCTGCGCGCGCTCAACTTTGCCGACCTAGACCCGCTCTCTACCTATATATACTTGCTTTTAGCCTCTTGTAATAAGAATCACCAGCCGCATAACAAGAAACACTTATTCAATAAAGTTCGGAGCCACTTAGGTGGTCTCCTTCTTCTTTCTTTTCTTCTTTTGCATTTGTATATAGCTTGCATGTTTCAATTTATATAGTCTAGAAGTAGAGATTTCTCCCTAAGGGTGAGGCGTGGTTTAGTCTATATTCCGCCGCCTCTCTCTCTAAGGATTCATGAGACTTCATCTACTATCTAAGACTCATTGTTGAATTATGGATCCTTCCAATGAGGACGTGATATAATGGCCATCGAAAATCGATTGTTAAAAGGGGAAACCCTATGGTTCTCCATCTTTATTTATGCTTAATGCTTGTTGCTAGAGTAGCTAACTAGTGACTTGATTTTAGGTTGATATACTCTCCAAAAGCTTGTTATATCTCCGGATAATATTTGATGGGCAAATCGTTTTAGGCTACGAAAGTAGACCTAAAGAGTTTTGTGAACAATCATTACTTGGATGTAATGCATGTCTCACTCTACAATGACCAACGAAAGCTGAGCCCATTGGTTTAAGAGACATAGGGGATTGGAACCACGAAAGTGGAATAATCCTTCCTTAGTGTTTTGAGTTCAAAAGAATCGGATTTTAACAAACTTTTCAATCGACTTGGCTCATGTTTTCAAAAGAGTTTTCAATAGTTCAATAATGTTGCTTGTATAGAATTGCATTGTTATTTCTTTTGCGTGTTCTAAACAAACACAAACCCTTGCATCTTTTGATTTAGCTTAGTCATTTAAACTCTATGATTATGTAATGTGTGAAATCCAATCCCTTGTGGTTCGACCCCTAAATACTACAATTATATGTTGTGCACTTGCAACACTAGTTGTCTTAGGGAATTATTACTTGTACTCATCCCATAGATGCCGCATCAAGTTTTTGGCGCCGTTGCCGGGGATTGCATCATAAACACTTGCATAGTCTTGTTTAAAACTAAGTCTAGATCTTGGTATTTTCGAATACTAACTTTTTTTTTTAAATCTTGTGTTTATAGGTACTTGGAGATGAATCACAACACCAACATCCACTTTGGGAACCGGACACTGATCCCACACGATCTCCACGGCCGGAGTTACCAAGACCCAGCCGTAAGCATCGTGCCACATCCGTTCCCTCCCAACCGCGCTCATCCGACGTTTGAAGGACCTAGCCGAGACGAGCATCATTACCATCATCATCAAAACCGACCTCCGGTTTATCATCAACCACCTAGACCAGTGTTGCATTCACACCACGACCATGTTCTCAATAGGCGGAGAGATAGCCATTTCGATGCCGTGCTTGAGGGTTTCATGGAGAGCCAAAGAAAACTAGCCG